CAGACAGGCAGACCTGATCAGGGAAAGCCCATGTGAAAGAAACTTTAGTAAATCAACCCTATCAAGCCCAAGCCTAATGTAAATTTCACATTTATAGGGGAAAGAATGACACTTTTCAAAGGTCCATTAAATGACATGGCAAAATATAGCTCTGCATCTGTTTCTGTTCAGTGTTTTCCTGTGCAGCTTTTTTCAAGCTTTTCTGGTAACAATGTAGTGCTATGATGCATCCGATAAACATATGGTGATAATCTTAGCTGTTTATATTGAGCAATACATAAATAACAGGAAAATTATGTCATGATATAACGTCCCCTTTGCAAAGAGGAGAGGAGTTTATGCAGTTGAAGGCATCTCTGTGAAAGGGTATGTGAAAGAAGGAAGTATACACTAAATGCTGTATCTCCTCATTGTGAGAAAGAGAAGCAGAAAAAATCAATTTCATCTATCATGATTATTAGAGGTGCTGGTTGTGGCACTAGAATGTTTAATGAACTGGATACAACAAGCTTGCAGTGCTCAGTGGAATGTGTCTGCTCCCTGAGCCCATTTAAAAAAGGTCTGCCAGATAGGATTAAGGATGAGTTAACCTGAGCTGACCTCCTACAAGTACTAGATTATTTCACATAAGTCTTCATCTATACTGACCTCTGTCTCTCTGATCACTGAGATAGTCCCAACATTTGAGAATGTCAGATCAACACGGTTAATCTTGTAGAAACAACATCCGATTTCCTTGGAGTTCTCGGTCTTAGTGTTTGTTATTGCCGGGTTCTGTATTTCAGTGTTAATGTACAATATGATATTATACAGAAGGGCTTTGCTTTTAAAGCAGTATTAAACCCCAAACCAAAACTGTATTATATTGCAGCTTATCAGTCATTAGATGTGACGCCTGCATCAGTTTTCTTTTCTTTGGCTTTTTTTCCCTCCGTTTTCACCTGGTGATCTGGCCAGTAACACCTCAAATGTATTAGTGAAACACCACTCTGGATGAGTGATTATAGGAAGCACAGCAGAGAGCAGCATTGTCAGCCTGGGGGGGGGGGGGATGGGAGTGTTAAATGTATTAGCAGATTTGAATACAAATAACAAACTAAAGCCAAACTCCAGCTCACACTTTGTAATCAGTTACAGCAACAGTTTTTTCCTTTTGGGATAAAGGTTTTTATGATATGAATGAATAAAATCATTTTAATTACTCCTGTCAGTGATAAATGGAATATATCACCCATGTAAACTGATACATTCTGCTGGAGAGCTTGAGCCTCTGAAAAACAGCAGACTTGCTGGCTGGATCCCCCGATTAAAATAGAAATAGGAAAGCCTAAAAAAGGAAATTAATACAGCTATTGCATCTAAAAATTGTTAAACAGCAATATAATAAATGTTTGCTTTTGTGTTTAATATTACTTTAAAGTGATAATAAAGGCAAGTTTTTTTTGTCTTGTTTTTTTTTTTAAATAACAAACATGTCATGCTCCCCTGCTCTGTGCAGTGGTTTTTCACAGAACAGCCCTGATCCTTCTCTTCTTGGGTCCCCTGCTGGAGCTCCTTGTCCCTCCCTCCTGCCGAGAGCCCCCATAGAAAGCAGCTTGCTATGGGGACAACCAAGCAGGCTAGCTCCCAAGCTGCTGTTCTGCATATCCATTCACACACAGAGCTGCGTCTCAGCCCCTCTATCTCCTCATTGGATCGCTGGCTGTGGTTGACAATGATTGAGCCAATGTCTCTCGCTGCTGTTTCAGCCAATTAGGAGAGAGAATCCCCAGAGAGCTGAGGCTCTTGTGCACATCGCTGGGACTCAGGTAAGTATTAGGAGGGGTTGGGGGGACTGCTGCACACAGAAGGTTTTTTACCTTCATGCATATAATGCGCAAAGGTAAAAAAAAAAACCTTCGGCCTTTAGGACCAGGTTTGTAGCAGGTGCAAAACATTTCAGCAGATACATTTTAGGAGATAAAAGTCTAGGTAGCATTGAACAGCTTCCAATCCCTCCAAATGTTTAGGGTCTACAAGAACTATCATTTACTGCATGTTTCTGCAACACAGCAGGCGGAGAACAATTAAAAGACATAAAGAAATGCTTTGCAGAAATTGACTGAATTGATGTATGGGGTGATATCTTCCACAATCTGCTGATCTACTCCAGTACTGAGTAGTATTGGATCTGTGCAGTCAGCCCAGGCGGGAGAGAACACCTTTCCATGCAACTCTGCAATTTAATTAAAAATTTCACTTAGCTTAGAGAATGGGTGAAAAATTACTTTGCAAATAATACCCAATGGTGTATGAGGAAAATTAGAAAAAAACAAAAAACAAGATTTTTGATTGGATGATTAAAGTGTAAGTCCACCTTCAGCAACATTTTCCAAAAGCCCCCCTATGCAATTTAATATGTTCTGAAAAGTACATACCAGTGATCATCTTGTTTCAAATGCTGTGCCTTATCCCATTACACATGCAGCTGTGGGAGGGGCCCCTCCGGTAAACCCCCCCTGCTGGCCCTTCAATCCTACTGCATCCTGTTTGCACAATTGTGCACTTCCTAGCAGCTACTCTAGGCCATTCAGACTCTATGCATGCGCAGTGTGCTCTCTTCTTCCCTAGCTGAGCTCAGTAGAGGCCACTCTGGGCCATTCAAATTTTACTCATGCTCAGTTTGCTCTCCTTCTCTAGCTGAGCTCAGTAGCTGCCACTACAGGCTATTTAACTGCTTGGTTTTATCGCCATCTAGTCACACGTATGAACAATGCCCTATGCAGGCCATAGACGGGTCGGAAACAAAAAACAAAAAATCGGTTGTTCAGTAGGTGTTACCACCAACTGTACAACAAAAAAAAATCGGCTGATTTTCGTCCAGTCTACGGCCGGCATTTAATTACTTCTGTCCCTGCAGAGAGCTCCGCTATTATATTTGACATGAAAAAGTATTGTGGTTGCAACAATGTATCTATTTGTATCCATTTCGGATACAGATGTTTTTATTCAGATACAAATAGATACATTGTTGCAGCTGCAATACTTTTTCATGTCAAATATAATAGCGGACTGGAATTCTTAATATTCTTCTTTTTTTTCTTTTTCTTCTTTTTCTTCTTCTTGCAGGCCACAGCTCATGCTAAGATTTTTTATCGGTAAAATCCGCACGTTCCTAACCCCAGAAACCACTAAACAGCTCATCCACTCCCTCATCATATCACGACTCGACTACTGCAACTCCCTCCTCACTGGCCTGCCTCGCCGCTGGCTATCCCCGCTTCAGTCGATCCTGAATACGGCTGCCAGACTCATTCACCTTTCCAACCGCTCCATTTCCGCCACCCCCCTCTGCAAATCCTCCACTGGCTTCCGATTGCGCAACGGATCAAATTTAAAATCCTAACACTGACGTACAAAGCTGTCCACCATACTGCCCCGAACTACATCACTGACCTAATATCCAAGTACCGCCCAGCACGCACACTCCGCTCCTCACAAGACCTCCTTCTCTCTAGTTCCCTGGTCTCCTCCTCCCATGCCCGCCTCCAGGACTTCTCCAGGGTGTCACCCATCCTCTGGAACTCCCTGCCCCAACCCATCAGATTATCACCTACTCTCCTCTCCTTTAGGCGCACCCTGAAAACCCATCTCTTCAGGGAAGCCTACCTCACCCCCTGCTAACTTGCTGACCTCCTCCACTCTTCCTACCACTCCATCCCCCACAGCTATCTCCTCCTGTACCACTGCCCCATCCCTTCTAGATTGTAAGCTCGAAAGAGCAGGGCCCTCGATCCCCTCATGTTTTGCATTGTATTGGTATTGTTCTGTCACATGTTCTGTCCCCCTTTGTAATGTACAGCGCTGAGTGAACTATTGGCGCTTTATAAATACTGTATAATAAAATAATAATAATCGGTAAAAAGATCAGCCGATTTGCCCATCATTTCCGGGAAAATCAGGCGATCGGCAAAATCGGCAGATTTTTTTTTCAACTTCACTGATAAAAAAAAAGTGCCAAAATCCAGAAAAACGGACAACCAATTAACCCATTAACGGTGCGAAAATCGGCCGATTTATTTTTCGCCAAACAATTGGCCGATTTTCGACCCATCTATGGCCTGCATTACTGGGCAGTCTCTCGTAACGTGGTACTTATTTTTTTTGAAGCTGTTTACATACATATATTGAGGAAATATATTATTAGATATTCATTGGCTAACACAGTACATTGCTGTTCTTGCTTTCGATCAGCTGTGTATGTGATGTTCTAGTCTTGCCCTACTCTACTAAACAAATAAAGCATTATTATTTCATGTCTCTTTTTCCTCAGATTTTCCCTCACTTCCCCAGTATCGGCTGATCTCCTAGATTGTAAGCTCCAAGGAGCAGGGCCCTCCTATCCCTCTTGTATTGAACTGTTGGCGCTATATAAATCCTGTATAATAATAATATAATAATAACATTGTAACCATTAGGAAGCCGATAGGGGGTACAGACATCCCTCCTGTACAGAGGTCAGCAGGGGGGCCCAATGGGGCTGCCTGAGTGCATCTCCACCAGCTACCTAACCCAGGGCTTTGCTTTCTCTGCTCCTCATCCCTGACTACAACACCCAGAACAGGTACATGGTCAGGCAAAGCATACTGCATGAAAACTTTAGAGGATCTACTTTCAGCCATGCAGAGGGCGAAATGACAATACTACAAGAGGAGCCACGAGGGCCAGTGGGCACACCCCCTCTAGAAGAAGTTTCACTCTAAATTCTGAAGATGAGCCCAAAACTCCCCCAAAAATGGAAGGGAGCACCATGCATCAGGGGAATGTAGGGGGTGTAGAGTGGGGTATACTGGGGGATGCAGGTGCAGGGTGCAGGATAACAGGCGCTGTAGAATGAGGTGGGCTTAAAATTTCAAGTCGTGAGCTACTAGCCAGGCCTTAGAGTTACTCGCCACCAACAAACACACACAAACAGAGACACTTGTACACACACACAGACAGGTACATACACACACACAGACATATACATACACACACACACACACACAGAAAAATGTACACACACGCACAGAGACACATGTACACACACACATACAGGCACATGTATACACACAAATACACACAGATACAGTACATACACAGAAATACACAGGCACAGACACATGTACATACATACACAGACACGTGTACACACAGACACATGTACGTACATATAAACAAACACACACACATGTACAAGCACACACAGACACATGTACACACACACAGACATATGTACACACACACATACATGTACATACACGCAGACACATGTACAGATACACACATGTACATACACACAGACACATGTACAATTGTACATGCATACACAGACACACACAAACACATGTACAAGTACACACACACACACCCATAAAAAGTTTCAGTACTTCGTTGTTCACTCACAGATCCGGGTACTGCACTCTAGGCAGACAGCACAGCACACACTCCTTGCTTTTGCTTTCACTGCACTCAGCTATTGAGCAGTCTAACGGCTCCCAGTGCCAATGACAGATCTGGCCTGAGCTCCGAGCCTGCTCAGCAAGATGGCCCTGGGGGACACACTCACCCCCACCATAATTTACACTCGCCATTGGGGAGCAGGCAAGTGGAAATTTCAAGCCCTGTAATAGGGGATGCAGAAGGTGCATAGAGCAGGGTAATGGGGGATGCAGAGTGATGTGTAATAGGGGATGCAGAGAGTGCATAGAGCAGGGTCATGGGGTATGCAGAGTGTGGTGTATCAGTAGCAGTGCAAAGTGAGGTGTAATGGGGATAGAGGGGAATGTAGAGTGTGAGGTAATGGGGGATGCAGCATGTTAGTTAATGGGGCTGCAGAGTGTAGGGTTGTGATGCAGGTGGGTAATGTAGGAATACAAGTGAGGTGTAATGGAAATACAGGGGAATGCAGAGTGTGGGGTAATGGTGGAGGTGGGGAATGTAGGGATACAAGTGAAGTGTAATGGAGATACAGGGGAATGCAGAGTGTGGGGGAATGGAGGATGCAGAATGTTAGTTAATCAGGCTGCAGATTGTAGGGTAATGGTGGAAGTCGGGGATGTAGGGATACAAGTGAGGTGTAATGGGGATATAGGGGAATGAAGAGTGTGGGGTAATGGGGGATGCAGAATGTAGGTTAATGGGGGATGTGGGGGATGCAGAGTATAGGATAATGGTGGAAGTGGGGAATGTAGGGATACAAGTGAGGTGTAATGGGGATACAGGGAAATGCAGAGTTTGGCGTAATGGAGGATGCAGAATGTGGGTTAATGGGGGATGTAGGGATACAAGTGAGGTATAATTCAGGTACAGATAGAGTATTGGGAGATGCAGGTGGGGCAGAGTGAGGGATAATGGAGGGTGCAGGGGGTACAGACTGTAGGATAGTGCACAGCGCCATCGATGAGAGAGTAGGACCATGTCAGGTAGACATGGTTTCTAATGATGGCTCTAGTAACACTATGTCAGGGTGAATAGATAGTTAAACTCCAACAGGGGTTCTATGTTTCCCCACACTTTACAAAACTAAAAGATAAGCTTTAGCTGGATATTCATTTTAACAGCATCCACATGTCCCAAGTACTTTGGCACCAGCAGCTGAAGGGAGAACAGAGCTGATAGCTAAATATCACACAGCTTACAATAAGCTTTAAGTGAAAACACAATGCACAGGGTTGTTAGTAAAGGAATAAAATGAATGCTACCAAAATATGAACCCCCACGTACAGTATAACTGCAATTCAATATGGCACCATAAAATATGGTCAACTGAACATAAAGATAAACAAGTTATTTAAACACCTTGACTTTATACACACATATATAATACCATGTTGTATGGTTGGAAAGTAGAATAATACTCAAATATTCTGCTTGCCTGGAAACAGTAATGCATTGTTCCTGGAAGTCTAAGCCATTTAATGCTTTAGGAAATTAAGCCAATTAGAGAGCTTATTCAGTTTCTTTTGTCCACAGAGAGTACATCTGTTGTCTTGCTTGTATATGTCATATAGGCAAAACAACATATTCTTGCTTTGTATTATAATTACAAAACATGAAAAAAAACATGTATAAATATATACTGAAAAATGATGATTTGCTTTCAGATTTCCTTTGAATAAATTATATAATGTTTTAATGTTATGACATTGTGTAACAAAAACACATTCCATGAATCCACAAAGTTCTAATGGCTTACAAATGAAAAATAAGGTTGTATTCATTACTTGAAAGCTGTTTGTAGGGAAAATTCTATATTCAGTGCTAATCTATAAAGATGGTTACTGTTTTAGTAACAATTTTTGGCACTTTCTGTCACAGCAATATTAAAGTCTTGTTAGCTATTAATGTGGAACGTTTGGGGTTTAAAGGTTAACCTTTCTCAGTGAATTTAAAGACACTGTCACCTTGCCTATTTGGGTCAAAGAAGGTTGAGAAGGTGAGTCCTTGACTAACTAACTTACCTGTACTGATAATTGCTTTGGCGGTGATGCCCTGCCTCTCTTTCCTTTGGCACCCCTGGAACTATAATCCCCTGTGTCAGCTGGTGTCAAAAGCTGGGGGAGATAAGTGATGTCACTCCCTTTGCCATGCGACAGTATTTAGGAATAGCAATTGGCTGCTAGACCTGAGCGCTGTCACATGTTCCCAACATGAAAGCACAAGGTATTGTTACCAGCTGTGCTGGAGGAGGAAGTAGTGGCAACGTGACAGTGTCTCTGTAAGACACTACATTTGCAAGCTTTTGGAACCCATTATCCTCCCTGGCGGTCTGATTATGTCAGTATTTCTGTGCTCAAAGTGGTACATTGTTTTCAATGGAAATATGTTGTTTTTTCTATTGTAGGCCTGTAATTCTTAGGAATAACTCACTGAAATCTGTCCAAACAAGAGTCTAGTAAACATCCCGGGTATAATAAAATTAGAAACACAAAATCATAAATTATAAATATAATAATCATAAAAAATAATATATAATAATAATAATAAATTTAATTCAATAATGTAATCAAACCAAAAACACTGACATTTTAAATAGAGCGCCAAGTTCGCACATCACTGAGCTTAGTTGCAAAATCATTTTCAGTGTCTGATGATGAATTTCCCCACAAATCATTATCACTCAATTCTGCAAGTGGTTCTAATTTACTATCGCTGTTCTTTAGCTGGTCTAAAACCGCTTTTGACCTAAAGGGAAGCTTTTTGGACGCCATGGATTTTTTTTCCAGGCAGAAAGAACGGTAAAAAATGCAGGCAGGGCACGGGACAAAGCACTAGGGACAAAATGTATGTGAAATGGTTTGATACAGTAATGTAATACTATCAGATTTTAGTGTATTGAGTGAATGTCAAATTTTTACATTTTTGAATTTCCCGCTGGTTCCGTCCCCCATACGTCCCAATGCTCGCAGGGAGCGGAACCCGGAAGACGGATGCCGGCATCGGCCGGAGAACATGGCCGGGGATGCTGCAGGGGGGGAAATTGCGGGAGCACAGGACGAGGTAAGTGCTGGAGGGTTCCCAGAGCAACGCTGCAGGGTAATCCCAAGTGTAGCTCGTTACCACTTCTGGTACTGAAAGTTAACCCCGAGCTACACTCGGGAATACCGCCAGGGAGTTAAGGGTTCTTCCTTGGGCATTATACATCCTTAATAACCCAAGTTAACCAGTATGGGGTATTACTCTTCAAATTTTCCACAATGTTTGGCATGGAAATATAGGCATATTAGTTAGGATCAAGTAACATTCTGCCTGCATCATGAATGTTTTTGTGTGCCTCATGGACAAGACTATTTGACCCTTTGACACACTGAAAGATTAACCTCTCTACAGAGACTTTTGGGGCTTAAGCCAGCCATACATGGATCGGTACCGGTTCAGCAGGGAACGGCCTCGATTCAATTTATGTGTGGACAGGCTGATTGTACATAAGTCGATCTTGGGTACAACCAGCCTGACTGTCAGGAACATGTTACCAGCCATCAGACTAAGACTTGTTGTTTGGCTAATAAATGTGTGCATAGACATCAGCATAGAAGACAGATTGCTCATTTGCCCACATGTATGAGCACTCGCACATGCACTGCTGGCAAGTGGCTTATTTAAACTTGAAACCTGCATTAGTCCTGTGCTGTATGGTCTTCAGCCTTATACTCGTGATCCATCCTGATATGCATCTGTAATCCTTTTGTATTATCCCTACTTGTTCTTGATTGCTGCCTGCCTCTGCTACTGACCCCGGCCCGGACTACTGACCTTGCTTATGCCTGATGATTCTGTACCTTGCTGCCTGATTGTTGCCGACCTCTGCCTGTTCAGGACTCTGATTCTGTTTACATCCTGATGTACGCCATACTATCACAGTGCATCACCAGCTGTATCTCTGCTCTTCAGACTCTTCAGACACCAGTGCTCTCAAGTTCCTGTTTACAGCGGCTACACCGTGGCACTTGGACTTTTCTTTCACCCCTGCTGTTCTCTGTCTCACTATCCAGGGCTGCTCTGATTAGAGGCCACCTTCATCATCTCAGGTTCCACATACAGGTACCTGACACTGACAGATTTTTTTACATTCAATTAATTAAGAGCCAGGGGCGGGCTGACAACTCATGTGGGGCCCCTAGGCAATAGGAGATCATGGGGCCCCTGTGTCCTTGCCCAAACTCAAAAAAGCCTATGAAAAAGGTACCAGGGGCATCTCATGGGGCCCCCTGCTGACCCCAAGCCCTCTGGCAGTGCCCGAGTTTTCAAATGGTCAGTCTGTCCCTGTTAACAGTGGATATAGCTGAGAGCAATAACTATTCCTCACTTTTTCAAATGTAAAGCAGCCCATAGATTATTTGATTCTTTCATTCCACCAGGGGTGCCTCCAATGGTGCTATTGTATTCTGGCCGCCATGAATGCGCCCCGTGCTCCCCTCCATGCGCCCCTGCTGGCAAAGCACAATAGCGCCGTGGGAGGCACTGGTGATGGAAGGAAAGAAAATCAAGTAATCCATGAGCTGCTTTACATTTGAAAAAAAAACAAGAGGACATATTCCATTAAGTTTATAAGTGATTTTTATCCAAAGTGGAGTTTTTTCTTGATGATACATAAGAAAAGATATGATCTAAGTAAATATATAAAGAATTAGTACATTATATACCATTTTATTTTATTCCTTTATTTATACATTGCCAACATTAAAAAAGCTTTAAAGAGTGCATAGAATATTTTACAAGAACATACAAACTCAGGTCAGAAAGCATGGCTGGTAGGATTAAAACCTAAGACCAAAGGGGTAATGCAGGAGTACTAACCACTAAACCACCATGCGGCTCTGCTATTATTCAAAATTCACTGTTTTGGAACACTGAAGGGCCAATCTTTGCAACCGCAGTATTTAGGAATCAAAAGTGAAGTAAAGCCCCAACCTCTGTGAGGATCTTCTGGAACCTGTAATTCCTGGGACTGTTAATCCTTGGCCTCTGTCTGCATGAACTCATTGCTGGAACAATTCAAGGTAAAAGGTCATTTTAATATTGTATGTGAA